TGAAAGCTGACTTGCTCCACGACGTCAGAGGGTCTGCCACCCACGGCGTGCAGTCAACATTCGAATGCAAATCAAATGAAGGACAGCCAAGGTTTTTGATGCTTTTATTACCTCACCTTGCATGCATGTCACCAAACCTACATCACCTCCTTAATCACGAAACACGCATCGGAGGTCTATGCTCTGGCGTTGGCTCGTGGTGTTTACACCCGCACGCGGAGCGAGCTGACCACAGGCGAGACCGTCACAGTCTCGGCAGTCGGCGACCGAGCCGCGGCGGCTTACTCACCCCCGTTACACCGACGAGAGTCACCGGTTTGAGGTTGCCGGAGGACACGGGACCCACTGCTGCCGACGCCACGGTCAGGTCGTCCTCAGTGTCGATGACCGTGTCACTGCAGACAGCGGGAGGTCAGGTGGCCCAGCCGCCTTTTATTCGGTGTAGTCGGGCTCACAAACCCATCACTCAAAAACGTCGAGGTGTAAAAGGTTTGCTGAGTGATTTCGTCAGGTCAACGACGGAATATCCAAACTGAATAGCACAAATACCCGTTACGCAGGGAAACGTTTCATAATATGTAAAGACGACCAAGTTAGTCACAAAGTAGCGACATGCTAGTGTTTGTAATTGTCATGGCATTTGCGTGAGGTTTTGTAGAACAAAGACATGCTCAAATTGTGTTAAAGTTCACAACGTTGTACAGAAGCAAGCGCGGTGTCACCACCACGTCTGTTCTGTCGGTTATAAGCCATAATTCAATTAGAATGGCCAGAAAACTTATCTGGATAGTCAATACCAATCATCAGATATGCAACATGCATGAATGGTGGGTGATGACACTAGACTATGTTATAAGGCAGTGTTTGGCAACACTGCTTATAACATTGGACTATGTTGTAATGCAGTGTTTGACAACACGGCTTATAACATTAGGCTATGCTATAAAGCAGTGTTTGTCAACACTGAATGTGAATCCAAAACTTTCAAGCGTAGTTAAACTCAACGGCCCTGGAGCCAAGCTGGCTCGGGTGAAATGTTTGGATAATGCTCTTTCAAGCTGTCCAACTGCCGGAATTATTTCGCGGTTTTCTCAATTGGTATTGTCATTGAGTACTATGGTTCAAGGCCAAGTACTAAAGAGCATTCAGTGCGCAAATTATAAATATCACGAAATTAAATTGTACCACGTGAACAATGCGGGTGTGGTCACCCTACAGGTGTGTGATATAAACTTATATCAGAGGCGTAAGGCTGGCAAAATTGTCAGCAAAACCCAAGAATGAATCAAGGCAAATGGCGCTGTAAGCGTGGCTTTTTCCCTGGCCTAAAACCACACGCATGGTGACCTTATATATGATACGAATCCTGTCAGAACTCAGATGTGTGGTATCTATCTATTAAATACAAAACGGTCACGCATTGGTTAGTTTTTATGTCTGAAGTATTTGTCAGGAGCACGCATTACAAAGTGCACGTGATTTAGTCATATTAGGCACATACCGTCTGTTAAGTCTTCCAGCGATGCGGCGATTTAAGTTCCTTTGTCTGACTGACTTGGCCTCCACCTGGCATTGTAGAGACATATTACTGGTGAGATGAATAGAGCAGTCACACCAAAGTATCTTGCCATCCATACCAACTTTGCATGCATGATTGTTTAAATGAGCGTAGGATCAGCAACACCTTTAAGCAATCCACGTATTTTAGGACAACTTTTCAACCTTTATCTTATAAACGGCAGGTGTCACTTAAGTAAAACACGGGGGAATTACCAGAATCATATACCTCTCTTCGCCGCCTAGTAAAATTTTCGAAATTGAACCAGGGTGTTGGTGGCTTCCATGAGTCTTGGTAAAAACTGTCACCGAGTCCTTTGGATACTTTTGGGAACACGTTGGGTGCAAAGTCGAAGCATCCATCCTTGCTCATCCACAAAAGGAAGAGCGCCGTAAAGACGCGCATTTCGCAAATAATCGATTCGTTGCACTATACCATGATGTAAAACCACGCATGGTTGCGATAGCCACTATATGTTCTCAACGAGTACGTTGTCCCGTTAAGGCATGGCCGAATTTCTCGCACAGAAGCTGGTGCGTTTTGTGTTTTTGATCCCTCGAGTAGTGTGCGTTTCTACACAGTGCAATAAATAATGTACTGGGGAGCAGAAGGACAGAAAACTGACTTCGAGCAACATTTTTTTTTTGAAATACGTGAATTTGTCTCTGAATTCCCCTTGATAGTGTTCTTAATGTGTTACGGTCATTGTCGACCATCTCCACACGTAGTTGATTGTCCACAGTATGTCGCAACACCTCTTGGTTTTTCCAATGCTGCTCTTACAAATAGTGTTATCCTCCATCTACCACTAGCATGGATGAAACTGGAAAATGGTGAGTGTGACAGTAGACACACCACCTTTCATCAAAGAAAGACTATTCTAGCATTTCTTGGTCGAAAGATCCCCACTTAGCAGATTTTCTATAATGCAAACCCTGACCTAAAGAAAAAGCAGCCATGAGGCGTTTAAGAAATGGAGGGCTAAGGTCTCTCCAAGTCATGTCTCGTTTGCATCTCGCCATTACATTGGAAGAGAGGAGGGAGATTTGAACCAGTTTTTACTTAGACCTCTCTCATGCCATAAGTACTGAGGATATGAATGAAATGCTTATATCTGCAGACCGCTAAAACCTTCAGCTACATCTGTAGTGGTGCATTTTTGAGACAAAGTACTCGCTATAGTGCTACGGAAGAATTGAGACGAACCATTAATGACCGATATCATAATCGTTGGTAACATTGCCCTAGTCTGGCGCATTGGTATGTGCACGAAGTATCGACCAGATATCTTGCCGGTCATCGTAGGTGTTGAAGAGTCCTGAGACTGTGTGGTGTCCGGCTTTCAGCAATGCATGCGTCACAACCCCAGTTCTCTCCTTGAAATTGCTGCAATTCGAAACGAGTTCTGATTGCCAGCCCAGTGCCCTACCAAATAACCTATTCTCTCCATTTAGCACAGTTGGTCGGGTGCTGGCCTCACAATAAGAAAACCCCGGTTCCAATCCAATCAGTTCCGAGGAAAGACTTTCTATTACGGCGCATACATCGCAGAGCCAAACACCATTCAGCCTCTCTCAGGCCCCAAGAACGCGTGATGGCCGCCAGAAAGGTAGCTGGTCAAGACGTTGTGCACATATTACACACCACATGAGGACGATATCCCGAAGATTAGCTCCATGTGTAACACATTCGCTCTTTTTGGCATATGGGTTCCCAATGGCCTACCTTCGAAGTAAATAATCTGCCACACCGTTGCGTAAGTTGTGTTAATATTGGAGAGGAAATGTACGGGTATGGCTCCAGATCTACTCCCATTGGAGTTTTTCAAAACTTAAAAAAAATCGTGGCATGACTATCACAGACGCAACACCACAAGCTCTAATATCCTGGCCATGTCCCCGTTTATAGAAATGGAAGATTAAAGAACTTTTACACATACACACGATCCGCGATAAATGAACCTTGGATTAGATGATCCTCCAAACCGGTCTTCTTCCACATGGCACCAATGTTTCCCCAATGACCGTGTAGCCACGATCCAACACTCTCGACAGATCTACACGGCTGTGTGCTAGGCCTCGTACTTTCCTAGGGCTTGGGTGAACTAAACCCATGGATTGCTAAAAAGGTCTGTAAGTGTCCCGTTGACATAATAAGTCCGTTACTAGTCGGATGTTTAATGTCATTGAAACTACATGAAAACAAGCATTTTCTTGTTGGAGTGTTCGGAATGTATAGCAAATTCGTAGAAACATCAAATACCTTCAACTTTTCATTGCATTAATCCATCGTGAAAACGGGACGCCAGACTTAAAACACATGCCGGCCGATCGCAATAGCTCATAACAATACGAAAAAGATATGATATAACGATATAAAAAACGTTTCCGTCGCGCTCACACTAAGCCACGTGCGCGGCCAGCTGGATGTACACTTATAGAAAGAGGGCGCAGCTCTGCATCAGTTGAGTGGCTAAGACTGATATCTGTCGCATAAATTATCATAAATCACCCTGCTACAAGTTGGACATGATATAACTCATCCACTTTCCCAGGGTGGAGTGGATAAGCTATATCAGCTGCGGCTAGGTGCGTCATATACTGACTCCATGCCTCTGAATCCGTTGACACAAATATGGCGCACCAGACGGCGACATGTCGACACATTTATGCCAATGTCAAGTCACACAACTACGCTATGATCGGGTTTCTTTTACAATCACTTTCGAATATGCGCTAAACGTCGTATTTCTTGCTGAGGTAACCATACGATGAACAAGTCACGTCGTTATCCGGGTTGCAAAAAAGAACTACGTTCCGCCACTAGCCATAAAACCTGTTGTTCCATAATAAATCAAAGTGTGCTGTAGAAGAACACGATGTGTGTTAATCACGGACAAATTAAAGTCGACGCGATCAGCCAAACAGGTAGCCCATTCACGAATACCCAAACTCGCGTGTCTGTGGATACAAAACTAGTTGCTTAAATAGCAATACCGGGCGCACGAAGGTTCTGCATGAGATGGAGCGAACGCGTTTCGTGAGCATCTACCGCTTCTTTGAAATAATCGACGAAAAACAAGCCTGAGCTACTACGGCTTTTTTGAGCTACTTTATTTCACATTTCCCCAAAGGCTCTCACATCCACCATTTCCACCTCACGAGACGTCAACCACGCTCCCCTTCCGAACAGCTCCGGAGCGCTGCCTCGCTACCTTCCCCATGGCCGGGCGCCCCACTTCTGGACTTCACCGGCGACATCGGCGGCGGAGGGCCGACGTCACCCGCGCGGCCGTCGGGCGCCACGCCGCGCCGCTGCCCCACTCGCCGGCCCGCGGCCCGCCAGGTGGCCGCCCAGTTGCACCTCGCCGGCCACCGGCGCGTTATTTTTGCCCGGCGGCGATCTTTCCCGTTTGCGGCGTTGCGAGCAGTCGGCGGCGGCGCGCGGTGCGGGGGTCGGCGGCGCTGCGACCGGGGTCGCGGGCGGCATCGGCGATCGCCGGAGCGCGCCAGGTAAGTCGACCCTGGGCGGCGGCCTCAGAGAGCGTGATCGCCACGCACGGGCCGGCGGGGCACGCGGCCGCCGTGCCTATTCCTGCGCTCGGCGGTCGGCCAAGCTGGGGCGGCGTGCCCCCGTCGCTGGCCGACGGGCCCAAGTGTCCACCGCGCCGCCCGTCCGTCGGGCGCCATTCGACACCGGCCGATGATTCGGTGGCTGCCGGTACTGCACGGAATGCGGTGTGGCTCTGTAACGGAACGCTGCAACGACGCTGTGGCACTGCCTGGGTGTTTAGGTGTATTCTGTATGTTTGGCACGGCTTAGGTTGTCGCGGTTTTATTCGTTCTTCCCGGTTAGTGAAAGGTATTGTCACGTAACAAATCATTGATGTGTCCATTAGTCTCGCATTATGTGCAGCATCAGCATGGGGAGAGAGACATGCCTTTGTTCTACTTGACAGCACAGTCAAACAATTCGTGGCTACGGCATTTGTTGTTCAAGCGACACAACGCAAACCCGCCAAGAGACCCCTGACCTATGAATAACGACAACATTCCACCGTTTTTTCCACGGGTCATCAGACAATCTGTCGCAGCCTCCTTGTTCGCGAAATGTCTGTCCCGGTGTGAGCGAGGCTCCGGGCCAACCAGCTTGTAAGCGCCACCACCCGTGACCTGAGATATGGACGAGCTCGAACAGTCGCGGTACTGACCTATCACTCTCGCGCCACCGCCCGCCGGGCTGCTTCCCGAATGGTGCAGCGAGCCGACTCATTGGCGCGTGACGGACGGAGCTCGCCTCCCCCCCCCCCCCCCCCAACCGGGCGGGGCTGGCAGGCTTTACTGCCGGGCGAATTCACAGTTCGCACAAGGTTACAGCCCATTGTGGTTGAAACGTTTAATAGATACATATGGTTTGAAGTGGGAAGTAAGAGCGTTCCTTTTCTTAAGGCTAGTTTCGCCTTAAAAACAACTTTCCAGGAAAGCTGCACCCGAAACGAACCCGAAAGTACAAACACAAGAAAGCAGGGGGTTTCACAAATTCTGTTTTTAATTGTACCAAAAAGTTGTCTAGGTTCTGAAATTACATGAAAATCCATTGAAAACTAATGTATGAAAAGCAACTCCCAAAGTCCCGCACAGCCAACAGTACTGTAGGTGTTCCTCAGTCACGACAAGGACCCACGCCTCCGAGCGTCACACGACGTCGCACAGAAACAATTGTCCTGTATAACGGCAATCGCCGGCGACTCTCTGTGCACCAAACCCGCTCTGATCCGTATCACGAGCCGGGCAGTGTGCACCAAGCCCGCTCCGATCCATGCCACGAGCCGGGCAGCGCGCACCAAATCCTCTCTGATCCGTGCGACGAACCAGGCAGCGTGCACCAAACCCGCTCTGACCCGTGCGACGAGCTGGGCAGCGTGCACCAAACCCGCTCTGATCCTTGCCACGAGCCGGGCAGCGTGCACCAACCCCACTTTGATCCGTGCGACGACTCGTGCGGCGTCGCTGCGGAAGTCCGCCGCCCGCGGAGCATCTTCCGACCGGCAGCACGCCGCCTCCCAGAGGCCCACGCGCTACCCGAGAACATAAACACGCGAGATCAAGCAAGCAAACGCGCGGCGACTAATGTCCGGGGAAGGGGAGGGGCCGGGCTATGGGCTGGCTCGGATGTTCCACCGAACACCCAAAACAATTGTAATGCTGTCACTTTTGCGTCATGTTTTTGGCCGCAGCGCTATGGACTAAAACGCTGTCATGATGGGTGTGTCCATATGTATTAATGGCAATGTGCCGTGATATTTGCTCCCTTGCAAATGGGCGTGTTTTAAGACTAAACCTCTGCAGAGTAAAGGTGCTCAAAGGAGAACTGCCAGAAAAGAGAAATGCCGAATGGATCAGAACCATATTCCGCAACATTCCACTTAAATTATTTCCAAAAATAAGGCTTCGTTGGGCGCAAGTTCTCAAGTATGCGTCTTGAAGTGGGACCATAAATAATCACCGTTTCCTGGAGAGTCTCGCTCCATTTTCGTAAATGTCAGCTGTCAGGTACCGGTGCCACGAAAACGGCGGGGATGCCCCACCGGTCACCCAACCGAAGACACCATTAACCAAAACAGGGGAATTACTCTCTTCGGTTCTTCCGCACCGTTAATAATCATTGCCATAACAGGCCCTGAATAAAGGAACTAAACTAAACTAACCTAAACAAGAGAGAGCCCTATAATTCGTAGGCACAACCACCGAGCTGTAACCATTGTAGGCAGCCTGCCGTGGAACCTGATGTACAGTGGGTACGGCGGACCAGGACCTGACGTGCAGTGGGTACTGCGGACCAGGACCTGACGTGCAGTGGGTACTGCGGACCAGGACCTGACGTACAGTGGGTACTGTGGACCCAGGCCCGACGTACATTGGGTACGGCGGACCGGGTCCTGACGTACAGTGGTACTGCGGACCATGGCCTGATATGCAGGCCCAGACCTGACGTACATTGGGTGCGGCGGATCCGGACAAATTTGGTATTGCGGATTCGAACCTGGCGTTCAGTGGGTACTGCGGACGGGGACCTAGGGTGCAGCGGGTACACCACTGGCATGCAGAGGGCGCGCCGGACGCCTGGCGACCGTCCCCGTCACTGTTGGCCAGCTGAGCGTGCCGCCAGTGTGACGGGTCGAGACAGAGATACTCCGGGCCAAGGCCGGCACGGCGCCCCGACCGGCCGGCACGTCCTGCCAACCCAAACCTGCAGCCCACCCCGGGACCAACGCAAACCTGTGAACGACCGCGGCGTAGTGCTCACGGCCAGCGCAACTCACGGCGCTCACGGCCAGCGCAAGCCCGCAAGGTCGGACGTAGTTGGGATCCTGTCGAGTTTCCAGATTTTTTGTGGCGAGGGTCGGGCAAGAATCCAGGGAGCAGTCGTTACGCTTTTAACAGAGTTTGACAGTTCACAAACAGATGCAGGTCTGGGAGTGAGCGTCAAGCCCGTAGCAAAACAGCCACAGTCCTGGGCCGGAGGAGCAAGTAAAAAGCTGCGCGTGCGTGTTGTAGGTCACGGCTGAGGTCAAGGTTGGAATAGCAGAAGGGCACGAGGGTGACCCTGCATGGCTTGGCTGCTCACCGCCCCAAATTAAGAGTGCTGGCAAGGAGAAGAGGACGAATCATTTTGGGTTATTTGGTGTGACATACAAGCCGCCATCACCTCTAAACTGCGGTTGACGAAAGCATCTACACACTTCATCTTCTTGATGCTCTTTATTATTAGACACTATTCACGCCTACGCTCTGCCAAGGCAGACCCACTCCGGGTCAGCCCGCCTGCACCAAAGCTGCGGTCAGCCCAGGTTGGAGCAGGTCAGGGGCGTGACCTTAGCCGACTCAGCCGGCCAAGACCCCTTTGTGAGTGAGCATTTTTGATGGGCTCGTGTGTGGTCGGCTTGACTTTGGCGTTAAGGGAAGTAAATGCAACTTCAGGTTACAGTGAAAAAATGCATTTTCTACATTGTGTTGCTGACGTCTGACATCAGCACTCCCTACGCACCCACTTCCTTTCGAAAAACGTGGTAAGACCGGGACTGGCTGGCTCTTCTTCAGCCTCTGGTGTGGAGAGCCGACGCCGTCCGTAGGGCGTTAAGGGAAGGATCCCTGGCGGAGGCTGTTCTCTGTTCAGCCTGGTGGAGGTCCTCGTGCGCTAATGTCTATGGCTGAGACAGATCAGATGATGACTGAGACCATGCTGAGACCCTCAGCATCGAGCCGCAGTGCTGGCGGCTCCAGCAGGTCGATGCCCCACGACTGCAAATGTTGCCAGGTGTGTGTTTAACTGACAGGCTATAGTAAGCACGTAGGGGTAAGCAATGTTCTACACTCATGTGCCAGGCGTTTATTCATTGGAAGCAGTGTAGCTGTGCCCCTTGCGAAAGATCTGTACTGCCCCGGGATCAGGAGTATAACCGCGCACTCAGCGATGTTGTGGGCCTAGCGTGCTTCGATGCCAGTTTACAGCGATAAAAGCTCAAAAATCACGCTTTCAGTTCCTAGCTGTTGGCGGTGGAAAATGCAGGAATGAATGCAGGAGTTTGCGATAGGGAGGGATGGGGGGGACAGTTCAACAGATTTCGCTGAAAACTCAGCTTGGCATACCACAGGCGCGCGAAATTCCTTGCATTGCAAAAAGACAGCACCACACGTTCTTTGCTTACTTAGTTTTAGTCCTATACGTCGAATTTTGAACTTCCAACATGCATTGAAGTGCATTTAATCGTCACGCTGATTCACCGTTTTTATAACGCGGACTGGTAGCGGGGGGGGGGGGGGGCTGATGCGACCATCCAGCCGTTTCCAAACTAATAACAATAGAATCTGGTGGCAATCCAAAATAATGGCATTAGAGCTTAGCGGAAAGCACCAGCGGATTAGTCTCAATGAGATCTCGCGATTGGCTTTAGTTTGTGTGCTGTTAGTGTAATGATTGACCCCATTATGCCAGGTCAAATGCGAAATTTTTAAAAGAAAATTGCGCTTTTTAGCTCTACAACATCCCGCCTAACGGAATCATGTCTTATGGCAGCACGAAACTTAAACAGGCGGGTTCCTTATTCAGTTCTGAGCACAATAGTGTATAGCTTTGAGCACGCTTTTATGATATATGTCTCCGTTAATGTAACAATGTAAAACCGCTGGGCGCGCTCCTCGGCATCGTCGGTTCACGTCGGCATCACGGTGATCTGTCCCTGTTTTGCCTGGATCGACCCCGCTCCAGGCAGAACAGGGCAGATCGCCCTGCAGTGTTTTCCAAAAACGGCCGTTACTCCAAAGCCAGAAAAGCCGGGAAAATGCTCGGAAAATGTGTGAATACGCGCAAATGGATGGCTAGTAGGATACTAAAAATTTTGGGACGATTGCACGACATGCTTCAGAGACATCCTCAAAAACCTCACGGGGCATCCCTCCCCTATCAGGGCAAGGGTTAATGCATGTCATAAACTTGACAAGAGCAGGGTGCACGTGTCCCTGACAACCACTACGAGCGTCCGTCCGGTTACTCTGTCCACGACGCCGGCGGCGGCAGTGTCGCTCAAGACCTGACCGCCACCGGCACACCTCTTAATTGGCCGTCGGCCCGTCGGTTCTGCCTGTCGACGGCCACCCCGACGTTTACCCCTGTCGACACCGGCGTCGATCGGGGAGGGGCGGTATTTCGCACGTCACTTCGCCAGTCGGCGGAGCGCTCTGATGAGACGTGCGAACAGACGTGCAGCCCACGTCGCGTCCCGCCCGCACGCGCGCAACTACGTGGCGTAGTAGAGCTGCGATGTGGCGCGGAGGCCCGGTTCAAACCCCTCATGACCGGTGGCCAGGGGGGGGGGGGGTCTTGTGGTAGTTCCGCAATGTCGAATGCCATTGGCGTGGCGACTGCCACGGGCCCCGGGCGAGACAGGTGACTCAGAAGACCAGCAGAGGCGCAGCCAGACTGCGTGAAGCGGGGTCAAAACGGAGACAGCTGCCGACTCCGGCATGGAAACAGGCAAAGCACTCATAGAATAACTGTCCGCGTAGGAGCCCCTCGTGACGTATTCCTGGCGGCGCCTCTGCTGCTGGCGGTTGTTTCTGTTGTTGGCCGGTGCCAGTTGTTGCCGGTGGCGACTGTTGGCTCCGAGTCAACGCACGGCGCCCACACGGTCTTTTTCACGCGCCACGATTCAGCGGCCACTGGCGGGCTGGGCCAAAACCGTCCCGACGGATCTTGACGGACGGGTCTGGGCGGTGGTGACGCATCACGGGAGGAACTTCTGGGGAATAACACGCGAAATAGCATCCCACAATCATCACTGATCTAAATGAGAGCAACAGTTGTCGCTCCACTTGATGCATTTGCTGCACCACACCAAGCATACGTCCGAGTCCAGAAACTCGACACCGAGTCCGATTCTGAGTCTGGTTGGCCTTGGTTCGTATCAGAGTAATGACGCCATCATTTTTTATTTCATTTCACGAGTCCAAACCATGGCTCAACTGCCAGGGCGATGATTCCAACCCGAATTCCGTTCAGTTTTGCTGTGCATGAGTCCGTAGCCAAGGAAACTGTAGGAACTTCTGGCCAAGTCTGAGCTCAGTTCAGTCAGAGTTGCTTCACTGTTTTTACAGGCTGTTTTGTTTTCGCAGCATGCGGCATGTGCATTGTGATCAAAATGTCATGTCTGAACAGCGCCGCAGTAATATGAGCGCGATTAATTTAGGATGTGTGACGGCTGGCTGGTGCGTAGTTCCGGAAATCTTGCACAAAGAAGCTGAATTTTGTCTAATGTGATGTCAATTTAATTAGGGCCCTGATTCTTTTTGCTCTGAAGATGTGTCTTTTTGCTCTGAAGCCCTGAACCCCAGGTTTTGAGGATATCTGAATCTAAGCCTATTTCACGCTTAATTAGGCGTGAGCACCCAAGTCTAAGTCAGAGCTCAGCGCGCCACCGTGCTGGAGGTTCAAGCCAGAGTCTTGTTCACCGGGAGAGTAAATCGGCTCACTATGAGTCCGAATCAGTGCCACGAGTCCGGAATCACATCGGTGCCCGGCCAGCCCTGCTCGCATCCAAATGGTTGAAATGTAATATCTGGAACACTTTTCATTTTCGAAGCGCTCCTTTGGGGGTACTCCTACACAATTTGTGGGCAATGTGACGACATTTTGAGCATACCTATACATCTCCATTCTTTCTATCCCCCCGCATTTATGTGTCCAGCTGCCCTTACACCTCACGTGCAGAGCGCGGAGCTCAGAAGAGAGAGTCCGGAGTGGAGGGAGTGGAGGGAGCGTCGGGAGTGGCCAGCCTGGACCAAGTGAGCGCTGGCCGGCGCTCCGGGCGGAGTCGGCGCGCGAAGAATGAGGTGGCTTTGCCAGGAGCGGCGCTCCGACCGTGCCTCTGTGGGCTCGCGGCCGGCCCCGCCCGACTCCGGGCGCCCGGGCGGCGACGGTCGGGCGACAGCTGGGGTGGCCGGCACCAGCTCAGCTGCTGCAGACCGGCGAGGCTTTACGCAACGTGCTTGTTATTTGCGGGGCGCAACTAGGAGTAACATTCCAGCCTTGGTGCAAGTTTTGGAAACATTCCCTTTTTTGCTCTCGTAGCCCTGGCCCCAACATGATGCCTGTTATTCCGAATATCTAAGAATCTGGCTTAATATAGACTAGCTTATTCTGGTCAATTTCATGACCTCGTAGTCCTGCGCTTAGCAGCCTTAGGCAGCCAGGAGGCAGTTAGTTATGAGTTGACTCTGCTCAAATTCGTGAACACGTGTAGCGCCTGCATGCTGATGGAAGTGATTTTCTATCGCAGACGTGACAGGGCAGGCTCAGTCATGTCGGGGTCCCGGTACTCGAAATCGTCCTTCTCCTACACGTCATCAAGATCGACGGCGCGCTCATCAGGTTGGTACAATCATGCTTCTCCTATACGTCATCAAGGTCGACGGCACGCTCATCAGGTGGGTATAATCGCCCTTCTCCCACACATCAAGGTCGACCGCATGCTTATCAGGTGGGTTAGAATCTTACTCGCCACATGTCCGGTCACAGTCGGGGCAGAACTGTGTGGTGAGTGCAGTTTGGTTATTTCGTCGCATCTTGTTTTTCCCTCAAAATATTGCTTTGGGATAAGAACCATTGCTTATGTTCGGACAGGATATGAAATATATCAAAAGTATGTGCTTGGAAGAAAGCTATCTGTTCGCCATTGTGTAATAAGAATTTCCGGCATTCAGTGCCCGGGTTTTCTTCGTTTTAGCTTGCCTCCCGTGGGGCTGTGTTTCGCCAATATTTTTCATTCTGAGACTTAGCAGGTTCTGATATGTCGGCTCGCATTATGTCAATATTCCACCATGCAATGATTTCCACAATGGCTTCCAACGAACTCCTTCGAGTATGTTCATCCTGTGCCTAACTTGAACAGTTGGGACGAGGACCCACACACGACGTCTCATCTCAGCCCATGTATGCCCGTTGAAGATGTGTTCTGTCAAACAGGCTTTGTCTCAGAGCTGAGCTCCGCTGTGAGCAAGGCCGGCTCCAAGGTGACGTCGGAGAATGTGCACCAGTCCGGGGAGGTGATGGTGCACGAGGAGGCGTCGGAGATCAGCACCTCGTCCACGACGGTATGTCAAGCAACGAGCCAACAAGCCGCGGGCCAGCAACGTCCGTGAGAACTTCGACAACTCGCGTCTTACCGCACGCAGCCTTGCTGTTCTAATTGAGCACACTTCTTCTGTGACAGCTCAAATCCGCCGTAGACTCAGACAAGTGTGGGATGTCTTTGGGGACGCAAGTCGATGCGGAGACAAAGCCCCTGATTTGCACATGATGTATTAGTGTTATTTGCTGTTATGCACGTATCATTAATTCTAAGCGAATCGATTCGCGTGCACGGATAGCAATGTTTCAAATGGTAACGGAAACTGACCACTTTTTAAAAGGTTTCAGCACTTGATTTTATCTAAGAAAATACTTGTGTCCAAAAGGGGAGCATTTTCAATTAAATGCAGTCTTAAAATTCAAATAAATTGTTGTCCTAAAGGTGTGTGGATATATCGCACGATAAAGCATCCTAAATATCTTCGCCTGTTACACATTTATGAATCAGAAATAATTCTTAAACAACCTTGCCATTCAAACCTGTAACTGAGCTTGTGTGTGCGCGTGACAGCTTCGACGCCTTCACTAACGTCGCGCTGCCACCAGCTGATAACGCCGCCGCGCCGCTGGCGCTGCTCTCCTGCCGCTGCGCGGGCCCCCGCGAGGTGGCGGCCGCGTCGGCTGACGTGTGTCGCTGGCTTGTAGGAGGCGCCGCCGCGGCGAGGTGCAGCTGGTGCACAAGATCGGCCACACGCTGCGCCAAATGCGGGCCCTGCAGAAGGAGCAGCAATCGGTCCAGCAGGTGCTGTTCACTGCTGGGTCATGCGGGGCGTCGGGAACGGCGGTGATCCTGTTGGGCCATGCATATGTCCACCTCTGCCAGATTAGTGTTATGAAGAAAACGCTTGGGGTCCTGCTATGATAGCTGCATACACTGCTAAAGGGCCGTATACTCTTTAACAGCTGTATACTCTGCTATAAAGGCTGTATATTCTGTTAAACCAGCTGCATACTCTGCTATAAAGGCGGCGTACCTTGCTATATGTGCGGGATGTGTACATGCCGTGATGTTGTTTCCCTTTCTTTAGTGGTCCTGGTTTTCTTGCGCTCTCTGCAGGTCGCTAGCCCCATACACCGAGCCGTAGAGATCCTATTGGAGCTTAACACGGCCTCATTTGTGTTTGTCTCTTTTTTGATGCCTTTTGCACATCACAATGGGCGAACGTCAGTTTTATAGCCTAGGTCCAAACGCTTGGTCCCAGCCCGTCGTTAGTGTGTCCGTGTCTGTTCTAGAACACGACGGTAGTGGATATCGCTCAGTCAGACCCCCCCCCCCGCACACAATCCTAACCATTGCCCCGTTGTCCATAACCATTGTACATCCCGGTGGCTCAGTTGGTTAGAGCGCCTGCATCCCGATCTATCCACAATGGCAGGATGGATTTGGGTCGCATTAGGGCGCTCGCTATTTGCCCTTGGCAGGTATGGCCTGCGGCCGGTGGCAGCGGTCGCGCTAAAGGTCAGTTGACGTCAGACAGCAGGACGGACCGTGCCGAGCATTGCGGCACGTTAAGCTTTCGCAACTAAATTCTGTCGTTGCCTGGAACTGCGCGATCGGATGGTAGGGGTCAGGGCTCATGCAACAAGCACTGCTTAGCGTGAGCGCTGATCCCAGAAATCTATCTCTTCAAAGGGTTCGGATCAAATTTTTTTTAAAAATCGCCGAGTGAGATTAGACCTCAACCGACCTCAGTTGTCTTTTTTCTTAAATTTGCAAGTAATGGCTAAATGTGTGATCCTCAAAAGAACAATAACTTAATTTCAACATGCTGGACCTGTTCTGACTTGAGCATCGCACCTGGCACATGTCATGAGGGTTGTCATCCCTGTTGGAGCCACGCCACTCGCGTGCATTGTACGTTTGTGGCATAAAAGAGTTTTTGGGTACTTTATGTACTCATTGCTCGATCTTATAATGTTAAACGGTGATTAATTGTACTACGAGATGCAACCAGTTAAGGGCACCAATAGCAAGCCAGGCGTAATGTCCCAAATGCAAAACTACCACGGTAGTAATATTCCACGCGTGGTCGGATCGACTGATTTTGGTTCAGTTTGACAAGAGTCCTCTGAGTCAAGGTGACATGCATCTTAGCCACCCCTCCCCCCCCCCCCCCGCGAATGGGAAAAGTATGCTATGATTTTTCCCATTCGCCATGTCCGGCGAATGGGAAAAGCCGCACGTTCGGAGGAGTCGAATCCGGTACGTGTATTCAGTTGAAAGCATCCACGCCGCCATTGCAGTTTCCCTGTGTGTGAATGAGGATACCATCGACGCAGCGAGCTACGCATTGACGTAAATCAGACAAATTGGCACTCATGTTATTGAACCGTAGCTTTGATCCACAAGAAGCATGTTCGCGTACACATTGCCTGCCTTTGATCTTACATTCCATTTGAATCAAATCTAGGCTTATAAGCACTGCCGAGAGGTAGCAAGTCGAAAAGAAAATGCAATTACTCTGATTGGTGCGCAGACCTCACAGGCGAGCTCGTCGCTCAGGGAATCTGGCGCAACTGGAGAGGGGCCTGCGGATAGCGTTCGGGGGTTGTCTTGTGAAAGCATCCTGTTGGGCGTACAGTGATACGAATAGCTGCGCGAAGACAATGGGAGGGGGGTAACAAATAAAGTACAGGCATTAGCGTTCCCTCAAAGGAGCTATTCTCAAGGCTGGGCGTGTTGGGCTTTGCGTAGGGTGCATGTAAGACGGTTATGGATGTAAAAGACGCAACACATCCAAGACAAGTGCGTGCTTACAGAATCCAAAAGGTGTGGTATCAATGGTAGAATTGGACGCATTAATTGCACAGATGGTGCGTCATTTGGGCTCACCGGACCACTACGGTTAAGCAGCCAGGCAGTCAATGTTAATGACTTGCCGCAGTTTTATTATTTCTTCGGGTGTTGGATATCGGTCCACGCCTATCACAATCGGAGCTGCTTTAGTGATGGAGTTAACCCACATGATCGTTCTCAAAGTGTATACTTTAATGCGTTCTCAGCCTAACATCAGGGCGTCTCCACTTTCGCAGGAGGTCAAGTAGGTCTGAGACTCCTATCCCAGCCCCTTTCTAAAAACGTTTCCTCAGATCTTCCCCGTCTATTTTAGAAAAGGACCTCTTTGGTGTAAATCACTGAGGACAGCCTCGTCTTGGGGCTGATGAGGTTTTCAATGTGTCTGCCATGGGGCCCTCCTGGCATCTGGTGGGGCTTCTTTATAGTCACCTGTGGCCCTCCTGTCGAGCAAATAGCGTCCAAAGGTAAATTCCATTGTTATTTTTAGCCATTTGAGCTGCTGATGTCATTGATTTGCTTTCGAGATGAATTCAGTTATTAAGCCAGTAGTCGAAATTTTTACGAATTTTAAGCCATTTCTGTAGTTAAAAGCTTGTGAAAATTTCAACTAGTGGTTTAAATAACCGAACTCAGTTTGAGAAGATCAATCAAATGACATCAAAAGCGCAAAAATGGACGAATAAACCTATGTAGCTTTGCCTTTGGACGGCGCAGGGGCTCGCTGTTGGCCACCTAGGTTTCGCTACGGACATATGTTTTCTGTTCGCGTGCAGGTCTTCTTTGAGATAATTTACGCTCGTCTCGATCATTCTGGAACATACTGAAGGCATGGTGGGCATCCTGAACTAGCAAGACAAGAAACTTTGCTTGTCCGTGGTTGGCGCCGCCGTGGCCAATGTATTTTCGTGTCCGAGTGCGGCGAAATTTAGGTTTTCCGTTGGGAGAGAGGCTCCAAAAGCTGAGCTTTTGCTTCTTACTCCTAGATGTCTCTGCTCGCTTGTGGTCTGACGTCCAAAGCCAGGCCGTCGCCAAATTTGCGCGACGTCGTGCCAAATACGTTTGCCAGACGTCCTGTATATCTGTTTGTCACAAACGCGTCTGTCACTTTCACCAAGGCCCCTCTCAGGTCACGCTGACAGAGAAATTACACAGCGAGCACAGTGCACCAGTCGCGGGGGAGGGACTTTTGAGCACACGCTCCCGTCCCCTTTGATGGGTGCCGTGAGAGCGGACGGACAGTCAGTGGGATGGATTGACCGGCCATTTGATGACAGCGGAGAGGCTGGCGGCCAGCGGCGGTCCTGCCCAGCTGTCTTCGCTGAGAGGAGCGAACGGGTCTGCCACTTGGCAATGAATACAGGTTCCTTCAATCCACAAGCTGAAAATAGGTACTCAGACGTCAAGGCTGCTGTGGTGAGCATCCAATCAATTAGCGTGTATTATGCCATCTGATGGACTTCGGCGGTTTTTAGCATTCGCGATGAAACAAGTAATTCGTCAAGCATAATGCCCATCGCTTTCCTCTTCGTCAAACGTGATGACAGCAATCCGTCTCCGTTCAAAGAACGTAGAAGAGAGAGGGAATGCCGATTCCATCGTTGGTATTTGTTCCAACGGCCCGCGGCCTTCCAGCGGGCTGTGATTCGAAGCCGGAATCGATTTCCTGGAGAGAAGTCAAGCAGAAGTTTGGCCATAAACCTAATCGTTGATGCTGTTTTTTGTCGTCTACTATCCGATCTTGCGGCTGTGCGATGCCATCGGATCAGAATGCAATGGCTGGTCAGTGTAAGGGCAGAGACTAAGACGTCTTTTTATCATCCTTTGAATCGGTTCTGACCTTTGGGCCATGACTGACGGTCGGGACAGCAAATGACGGATATAATTGGCGTGACAAAGAGGCGTGTATGGAAGTTTTCCCCACAGCTGAGAATTTCAGAGCAGCTTTTCGAGTTCCTTCCAAAAATGCAACCGGCAACATACGTTCTAATATTATGAACCAAACAACCTCGGGACAACATCGTGACTGGCAACGGTCTGTTTAAATGAACGTCAAAAAGAACTAGGATGTGCGTGCCGTTTGATAGTTTTGATGCATTTGCACGCTTGTGACGTTTTAGAACACTAAATTTCCCTAGTTTACGAGTAAACGTGGTATCGGAACCGGTCAAATGCTCTTTTTTTCTTCATCGTCCTCGGACGTCATCTTGGACCCTTGCGGTCTAGAATATTTATTTTTATCCGATAAGAATTCCGTGACTACTGATTTCTGTTTAAATTGGCGTAATTATAAAGGCTGGTATAACCTCTACTATTTGGCTAATTGTGAAGCCTGGTACAACCCCTACGGTGCGCCGCACGTGGTAACACATTGTGATTCCTGGTTTGCAGCAACGGTTTTAGAATAATGAAAGCTGGAACACCTGAAAGACAGCCGTCTACTTGCCCAATAGGTTTTTGCAACATCTGGCAAGTTTCCAACGATAATTAAAAATATGTGAACATGGACCCCAAAGCTTAGTCGTCGCGACCCGGTATATTCTTTTTTAATTCGGGTATGCATGCCACTTAAAGGGAATGCTCCATATTTGAAGATATTAAACCAAGCATCACATGTGATGAAGTAAGCTCACTTATACCTATTAGCTTTCAACTGGAAAGGACTGCTCTAGACCACACAGTTTATCTATTCAATAAGTATGCTCTCAGGCGTCATTGTTTCATAATGTCAGCATACCTTGCACAACATCGAAAGCCATTTGAACCGATGCATATTAGAAATCACGCACACGAACACCTGACATGAACAATTCGACAATTAAAATTTTATTGGTCTTGATCGCCGCATGGTTAATGAAATGTCAGAATTTCAATTTCGTTATGATGTCGTCATGGTCCCTGGATAGACTTGAAATAGTCTCTCGGAAATAGTCTGCACATCTTCGCGG